CGGGCATCACCTTTCTTTTATCCTTGTCTTCAACCAAGACAGGATCCAGGGCAGGACCTTAAAAGGGGCCGCCGCCAACTTCCACTTTGCTTTGGCATCAGCTCTCCAATTTCTGAGCCAAAACAGTCTGCGAGATGTCACGGACAAGGACAAGGCCCTCGAGGCGAACTTGACCAAGTTTAACGAGGCATCGGCCAAATATTCGGTGGCAGCCACAATTTTATTTATATCTTGGTGAAGACGTGTGTCTTCCGGCGGTAGTCTCTCTTGAAGTTGCCTCAGCCAAAGCAACGTGGCTCTATTAAAGAACGACATAGCAGTCGCCGTCCTAATTGTCCAAGCAAGGGATTGATGCTCCTTACGAAAGGAGAGTTCAGTCTTTCTGTCCTCTGATTTAAGAACGTCCAAAGCGTCCGAAGACAAGAGCGAAGAAGAGGAAAGGCTTGCAATCGGAGGGTCAACCACAGGTAAGGATAATAAAGAGTCCAATTCCGGAGCCCCACAATATAGCTTTTTGTCCAGGCTGGTAGGACCCATCAGAGAGCCCGGTTGAGACCAGGGGGACTGAAGAACATCAGCAAAAAGTTGAGGGCATGGAATAAAGTCCTTCCCCAGCTTGGATGAGGAAAACAAGGCCTCATGAGGAGCTGAGGAAGTAGAAGGTTCAGCAGACGGGACTCCCATATTGGTGACCTGTCGAGCTTTATGCAGCAGTGATTTAAACAACAAGGGCCAGAACAAGCCTGAAAAGGCAGGGGTGTCCGGTGCAAGGCCTTCATCCTCCGAGAATTCCAATTCCTCAGGAAGCTCCCCCTCCTGCTCGGAGTCATCAGAAGAGATGCGAGCCAACCGGGATGGGGACTTGGAACGAGCATGAGCAGTTGAGTCAGAAGTACAAGGCTGAGCTGGAAGGGGCTGCTGAAGAACAGATTGGTGGAGTCCAGCAGCCAATATAGAGGAAAGAGCAGTGGACAACGCCGCCTGTAAGTCCACCTGGGGAGTCAACAGCTGACCATCTGGACCCCGAAGTCCGGCAGCGGTCGGGGTAAACGTTGCTTCTGCCCGACGGGAAGATGGAGCATGAGGTTCTGCAAGGCCCACGGTTGAAACGTCAGGTAAGGACATGGAGGCCCTCTTAGCGCGGAAAAGACCAGCCGGAGCCTGAGAGGTGGAGGTGTCACGATCCTCACCGAGGTCAGGAACGGCATCAGGTGCCAAAGAAGAGCTATGTTGTGGAGATAGCTGTTGGCTGGGAGCAAAGACAAAGGCCGAGGTGGCCTGTCTGGCCCTATCGTACTGCCTCTAGAGTGCCTTGTGTCGGCACTGGGTGTCCTTCTCCGCCGCTGATGAAGGCCTGCGCTGGCGAGAATCAGTATGAGTGACAGTAGACCTTCCACGCGATTTAGATTTGTGTTTGGACGGGGCCCTTGGTGGACTGGGCTCCCGCTCCGAGTCAGAAGACAGGTATGAATCTGCCATCTCAGGAATGTGAGCCAATATATCTATATATACAAATGTTTTTGTGCTTTGTTTTTTTTTATATTGTCTTTATGATTTTTTTTGATGTTTTTGATGTTTTGATTTCTTGTTTTTTTTTTTTTGATATATACTATAAAAATTATAACTATAAACTTTTATAAACTATATACAGTAAACACCAGTAGCCTTGTATGACGGGGCAACAAAGAGGTGCAGTAGAAAGGCCCAGGGAGCCCCCAAAGGCGAAGGCCAATAAGGTGGCCCAGAGCAGGCAAGGCTAGCCTCAGGCCCCAGCACCACAGGGACAGCAATGAGGCAGAGATGGCTAAACGAGAGTCCAAGCAATCAACGTAGGCGAGAGCGAAGTCAAAGGTCTGCCGCCAAGGAAGGGGAACGACCAGCCGAGAGATTGACAGAAAATGGCGGCCAGAACGACGACCGCCCCCAAAATGGCACCCGCAGTGCTCGGGACCGCGTGGGCTGATAGCGGCTAACTCAGTGCGTGCTCTGAAAGAAGTCCCAGCAACTCGCACCTCAGACCGGCAATAAACTTCAAAAGGCGCCGCCCAAAGGTCGGACGCCTCGCTCTCTCACCACCAGCAGATTGGGACGGCATGGCGCTCCAGAGACTGACGATCGAAGGATCTCCTCAGCGCAGCACACTCGGCAGGAAGGGAGGCCCGGCTGAGCTAATCTTCGCTCCAGCCAGCAAGCGCCGAGTAAACGTCAGAGCCTGCAGGGCAAACCATGCAAGAATCCGGAGCCGCCTCAATGAGAGCCGATACAATCCGATTCACAGGAAAAGGTGTGTGGGTGATCACGGCGATCCGCAACACCTGCGCTCACACCAGCGGCTGTAATGAAGGGTAGGGAACCGCCCCGAAGGGTCGGAAACCCCTGGCTGCAGTCTGACGGCCGTCAGAAGCCCCGGGGGAGAACGGACTGGCGCCCCAGACTCGATTCTTGCTCCCTGCAGCCTTCTTTAATACAGGCTCTCACCGAGAGAAAAACTAAACAAAAATAAATAAAAACCTGAACGCCAGAAAGCTAAAATCATGTAATGTGAACACGAAGAGAGAAAAACACACCAGTCTTCAGTGACTGAGTGAAAAGACTGGTGCATTATGGGAGCAGGGGGCGTGGCCACAGGGCGAGGAGAGATGTGTCTAAAATATCACCCAGTCAAAAGGAACTGATGAAGAAGAAATCCAGCTATGGACTGCAGGAGCAGTACTCTGGAAAATTGTTTGTTAGAAAGTAGGTTGTTTGTCTCTAGGTGGAGGGTAATAGATTGGTTAATGATTGATTCCATGACTTTGTAGGTGATGCAACATAAAGAGATTGGTCTGTAATTTTCAACTAGGCTAGGGTCTTCCTTTTTGAAGATAGGGATGACCTTGGCTTCTAACCATTGGTAGGGCAAGGAGATGGTACTGAAAGATTTTTCAAAAATTATGCAATTGCAATGGAAAGCTTTTTTAAGAAGTATGCACATAGTCCATCAGGTCCAATAGATAAGAGATGGTTTTAGATTGTGCAGTGCCTTTTCAACGTTGTCTTCTGTAAAATCAATATGTATAAGATCACCGTAATCATTGTAATTGTCTTAGTACGACTGGGAAATGTTGGGTATGTGTTGTTGCTGTTTACAAAGACTGATCCGAAGAACGTGTTAAAGAGATTGGCTTTAACGGTTTCATCACTAGTCTTCGTGTTTGGTCCTTTTAGAGGTTATAGAATTATAGAAGCACGGGTGGATTTTATGCGTACTATAGAAGGTTTTCTTCTTGCTTGATGTGATAATTGATGTATTCAGTCTTTATTTGTTGGCATAAGTTTTTGTAGTGGTTTTTGAAGTTTGCTACGTAATTAGTTTTGTTTTTTTGCCAAAGAGATTTTTTTCTGGATTATAGTTTCCTTATTGTTATTGGTAGTTTTTTTTTTCTGGTTTTGTGGGATATTAGTGGTACGTAAAGTTTAATGATTCTTTTAACTCAGCACAAGAAAATGTTGTAATGGTTGTCAGCAGTATTATAGCCAGTGAATAGAATTTGCCAATCAAGATATGAGAGTTCATTGTCTATAAGATCATAGTTGGCTTTTTTAAAGTTATAACTTGGAATCCCATAATTATGATGATTTTTGAGAGGGCGTAAATTGAGACAAAAGTCAATCATGCTGTGGTCGCTATTGGAGAATGGTTCTATTATTTGTAGTCCATAAATTGAATTTAAACTGTTGCAGAAGATGAGATCAAGGCAGTTGTTGAGTCTAGTGTTGTTAGTTACTAGATGATCAAGTCCCAGATTAGTTACAGTATTGTACAGGGTTGCATGTATAGGCTCAGTTGTACATTCATTTAGGGTCCAATTAATAAGTGGTAAATTAAGGTCACCAAGAAAGATTATTGGGTGTGGGCAGGAGGCTGCCCAGGTTAGTAGTGAAGTTAACTTGTTCACATGTTCGATATCGTAATGTGAGGCTCTGTAACATAGTAAGAATAGAAATATGCTATTTAAGGACAGGTTGCAGATGATTGTCTCAGGAAGAGCAAGTTCCTGTGTAACTTGAATATTTTTTAGATGTAGGGACATTTTGTAGAAGATAGCAACCCCACCTCCTCTACGGATTTCACGATCTGACCGGTAAATATGATAGTCTCTTACTGTAGTAATGGAGTCAGGGAACGATGTATTCAGCAAAGTTTCACAGACAAATATAATGTCAAATATAGTCATATTTAGTAAGAATATAGCTGTATTTAGTATTCTCCTGTTGAAAGTATTTATAAGGAGAGGGGTGGGGATGAGGTTTACTGGGCTTCCACTAGAGATATCATAAAATACCAGAGAAACCAGGATAGGCAATTCTGAAAGAGCTCTTATTTTAATACAGGGAAATACAGGCTATTAAATCTGAGTTGGATTGAGCAGAATTTACACTCCTGAAGACTTGTTAACTGGAGACTGAATGAAAGTCTTCCAAGTAGAATTTGACAAGCATAGGAAAGCTTGTTAAAAGTGAAGAGGAAGAAACTCTGCAAGACTGAGTTTTTCAACATAGATTGCCCTGCTAAGAATCAAAGATTATGAAAATTTTCATCAGTCGAAGAAGCCTGTCAGCCTAACTCACAGATGGAAAATGACCAACAGTACTTGCTTTAAATCTAAATGATAATCTAAGTATAGTTAAGAAACAGATCGATATACCTATGTGCATGTACCAGAAACTGGAAGAAGAGATAAACATAAAAATTCATGACTTGAAAAGAATGGAGTGGGCAAGAGCAAGGAACAACTCCCGCCATTCTATATCGCTATACTTCTGGAAGTGTGATAGCTATTCTCACTGTTTACCCTGGCTCCTCAAAATAATGGTCCTGGACCCCACATCCCATTTGCAGAAGCAAATATTATGCGCAAGGTTAACAATATATATATTGGCCAGGAGCAGAGAAACTATTGTTATACCTATCAAGCAATACAATTGTTCTGTATTAAAATAATATCAGCAAAATATACCTGAGTGATGTAAATAATTTTGTGCAGCTGAACTAGAATCTGTTGAATAGGATCACTGATCTGACGCACCTTCCGTTGTGATACAGCAATCCCAGCTGATGCTACAGAAGATAATGTTACAGTCAGCAATGAAAATCAATTTGCTGGTTTCAGTATTTCTCTCAAAGACAGATGCAGAAGCCAGGAAAGAGGGAAAAATAGCAGAAAGGCATTTGGATCTTGCAAATTATAAAGAAATCTAGAATTTCCCTTCTTGTAACAACACTATTAATAGAGAGTTATTGAATTTTAAATATAAAACATTTTCCGTACTTTAGCTGAGCTGTGGCAGTTGTGGCTTGTGCTATGCTCCTGGAGTGATTGGCTTCTTGGGGTGCTGTGGCTTTCTGCTATGCTGTTTGGATGGCTGGCGCTTCCTGCGGTGGTGCGGTTTTATGATGCATTGTTAGGCCAGCTGGGGCTTCCAGGGAAAGCTGAGGCTTCTTGCTGCAGCTCAGAGGCTTTTTGCAGTCTCAGAGCCACAGTGCACCAAGAAGCCCCTGAGCTGCAGCATGGTAAACAGCCCCAGAATTGCAGAGTTCTGGGGTGCTTGCTGCAATACAAGGTTCAGGGCAACTAAAAGGAAGCGATGGATAGGGGACATTGAACAATTACCTACTGTTCCTATTTCAATTTTTCCTTTGTCCATTCCATTTTTTTCTTGGACTGCTCCAATTAAACTCTTTATCCCATCTTTTTCTATACTGTTAAGATTCCAGATGTCTAAGAAGGTGGATCTTTTTTGAGTGTTCCACATAATGTTATTTATGTAAGACTTTTTCTTCAATACAGCATCTCACTATTTATAACTTTTCTGTAAATCTATGTTCTATTCATAACTTGCTTAATGGTGAAGTGATATTTTAAGTACTACCATGATCTTTCAGATTGCGCAGAATCACAGCAGGAAGGCTATGGGATTTCCACCCTGTCACTAACGAATCCTCTATTTTCTTAACGTGGGCCCTGAACATGAACGAAGGCATTTTCAGAAGCAGATCAAGGGGCAGCAAAGCTGAAGAAATAAAAGAAAAAACTGCATGTGAAACTAACACAATTTAAAAATAAGATTAGAAGACATTCAAGATGGGAATCCTTTCAAAAATAGCGGCAGAAGTGAAATTACCGGGTCTTGGTCTGAATCCTGGAATTCCAGTGTAATCTCTGCAAACACAGAAAGGGTAGCAAGAGTAATCTTTCAAATAATAATTGTGTGAGAAATTTAGCATATAAATTGTATCAATGCCTAGAAAGAAAATCACCTGGGAATCTTACATATAATGACTCCAATTTTATCAAAAGTTTACAAAGAAGCACACATACATTAAAAAGTCCTTATCCATCTTTCTTATCATGCAGTATTACTAGATGCTATGGCTGCACATCTTCAAAGACTGTCTGAAAGAAATGTTCTGGTCCTTGTACAGCATATCCAAAGCATTTAGAACCTCTCTGCTATTCCTAAAAACAGTCCTTCTTTTTTTCCTGCTCCTGAGCAAATCTAAAAAAGGCAGTTGCTTCAAGAGTTGTATTAAGTTTTCTGTACCAAACCTATGCAGTTCTCTGTAGAATGCTGATGCCAAAAAATGCATGTTCATACTATTTAACATTTTAGATAGCACCACTTAGCTTGAGGCCTTAGCCATATGCTGTTTCTAAAAGCTTTAGATATGGCAATAATGTTTAGTAAAAAAAATTAAATTCTGATAAAAGGAGAACAGCTTAAAATACACAATTGGGGAGTTATCATTTTACTATATTTATTTTTAGTTTAGTTTACTTTTAAATGCAAATTAGATTAGATTTAGTTGTTTCCTAGGAGCAGTCAGTACTTTGGAAAGTGTGTTTTCCAGTGTGATGCTCAAAACTAAGGGTGGCCCTTAGACAATAAAATGTTGTATCCTCCTATTCTGAATGGACCTTGAAAAAGAATATGAAAAATATTTTCGCAATGGATAAAATATGTATCACAATTACCATAATAAAATTTTATAATAACAATTTCTGCTTCTATTCTGCCAACTTATTTTAAGACATTTATACCACTGAAACAATAAAAAAATAAACCTGAGATTTGTTTTGTGAAGGATTTTTTAAATATGAGCATCATTTTATATGTTGTACATAATTTTATATGTTCCTAAACTGCTAATGTGTTTCACGTATTTTGAAAATTATATTCTCTGAAAATTTCAATATTGCTATACTACAGATTCAAGATGAATTCAAAATAAGAGAGGCAAACAATTTACATTTGTAAAGTAAGATTTCAAACTTGCCTTGCCTGAGGCTGTCTTTCATAAGCACTTAAGCTGCGTTTTATGCCTGTAACAAAAGTACTGAATGTATACGAGTCTGCAAACATTTTAAATCCATAAAATATTTTTCTTCTAACATTTGCATCCTACCATACTAATTTTTAAAAATATATTCTGGCAATAAAAGACAACTTTAAATACAAAAAAATGTCAAGATGTAAACAGACTCATACTTATCTAAATATTACATTTTAATCATACTTGATAAAGCATAGGAATATTGTATTTGCTGACCATGTAATTTGTTAGAGGGTATGTGATGGCCTAGTGATTAAGATTCGGGCTCGTCAAAGGTAAAGTTGGCAGTTCAAGACCCAAGTACCATGTGACAGGGTGGCTCTTGTTTTTGCCCCAGTTCCTGCCAACTAGTAGTTTGAAACCATGCAAATGCGAGTAGATAAATAGGTACCATTTTGATGGGAAAGTAACAGTGTTTCATGTGCCTCGGCATATAGTCATGCCAGCTACATGACTGCGAAAGCATATTCAGACAAAACTGTTTCCCTCGGCTAGGAAATGGAGATAAGCACCGCCCCTTAGAGTCAGGCATGACTTTACTTTTACAATCTATCAGATGCAATAATTGTATCTAAATTCTTTTTACTGTACATTTAAGAAAGCAGACTATTTTCTTGTCTGCTATATATGTTTTCTGGGTCAGAGCTCAAAGTAGGCAAATCAACCTTTATTCAGAATAAAAAAGAAAAAAACATCACATACTCTCCATTCCAATTTTTCTATTAGCCTTGTTATTAGGAATTAGCTTAGTAAAGAATAAATTATAATATTAAATGAGTTAAAGCTGATTTTTTCAAACTTTTTTATGATGGTTATGAAACAAATCACTTGAATGAATCATGTGGTCACTAAGAGATCTGGCTTCCTCCATTGAAATGTGCTGGGAAGATTGCAAATGGCAATCACATGATCCCAGGACACTGTAACTGTTGTAAATACATACCGGTTGCCAAGCACTCTAATTTTGATCACTGTGAGCCTGCTGCGACAGTTATAAGAGTGAAGACCAGGTGTAAATCACTTTTTTTCACTACCGTTGTAATCGTTGCTAATGGTTTTTTCTTACCATTTTCCAGCATTAACATGTAACATGCGTAATAAACTTCTGTTGTGTTTTAACTGGAAAAAATCTAAAAGGCTAGACATCTATTAATGTGGTAGGTTATAAAATGCTCAGATTGAAAAGTTTTTCACAGGGCATATATCCCTATTTAAAATATTATTTGAATCTTCTCAAAATAAATTAAGATTAAATGTTCAAATCTTACAAATCCCCTACAGGAATTAATATTTCCAATATATATAACTAGCTGAATACCCGTGCTCCGCTACAAAACTATGTGATCGGGCTTGATAAATCGATACTTACAGCTCGAAAATTAATGAGTAGTTACAATTGGCCTCTCCTCTCCCCTTTTCTTCCTCCTCCTTGCCCTGCAGAAGCCTCCACTATCCTATCCCCTTCTCTCTTTCAACCTTGCCACACAGAAGCCTCTCCTATCCTATCCCCTTCTCTCCCTCAGCCTTGCCCCACAGAAGCCTATGCTATCATATCCCCCTTCTTTCCCTCAGGCTTGCCTCCTCATAGAAGTCTCCTCTATCCTATTCCCTGCTTGCTGCTGTTATTATTTGAAAATTGAAACTGAAATGCCTCTCCTCTGCTTGTGTTTTGTATTTGGAACAGATTTGTTTTCAGGTGGTGAGGGGGAGTAGAACTCCTTAGCATCAGAGCGTGTTAATAATAATATAGGAAATACTAATGCTCTGATGGTCATTTCGGAAAAATCCTTTCTAAATGAGCACTTAGAAGCCAAGAGGAACATATGTGGCAAATTTCAAGTTTGTAGGCTTTACGGTTCTGGAGATTTTGTGATGATGCGTGAGTGGTATTTCGTTTTTATAGATTAAATAGAAAAAGAGAGAGATTTAGATATAACGAGTAATCATGAATAGTTGAAATCATAAAGCTTTTACTCTTCTTATGATTTAAGTCAGTGATCAAATGTAACTGTTCTTTGATATTAATTTCATTTGTAAGAATTTATTTCATACAATTATTCATTCTTGAAATGTTTGCATCAAGGATAAACATACTGTATACTATCACAGTAAAGATACATATCAAATGTATATTTACTATAGAAAAAGTGCAAAGAAGAGAAACTAAGATGATTAAGGGCCTGGAGACAAAAACATATGAACGGTTGCAAGAATTGGGTATGGCCAGTCTAGAGAAAAGAAAGATTAACGGTAACATAATAGCAGTATTCCTGTACTTGACAGGCTGCCACAAAAAAGAAGAGGTCAATTCATTTTCCAAAGCACCAGAAGGCAAGACAAGAAACAATGAATGGAAACTAATCAAGGAGAGAAGCAATCTAAAACTAAGGAGAAACTTCCTAATAGTGAGGACAATTAACCAGTGGAACTGCTTGCCTTCAGAAGTTGTAGATGTTTTATCACTGGAGGTTTTTAAGAAAAGACTGGACAGCTACCTACCTGAAATGATATAGGGTCTCCTGCTTGAGCAGGGGGTTGACCTCCAAGGTCCCTTCCAGCTCTATTCTGATTGACTGAAAGAGTCACTTATCTCAATGCTCAGCTTTACTTTTTACAACACGGATCATGCTTTTTAAAACATAAAAATCCTTTAAATTTGATACTCATTCAGTTTATTTATGCCATTTTTCTAAAGACTGGATAAGTAATAAAATATTACTGTAAATATTGCTTTCATATTTCATATTGTAGATCAGTTTATTTACGGCTTAACACACTTACAAGCATGAAGATTGCTCATGGGACAGACTTTGCAACAATCAACATCTCCCAGCTTCACTTAAAGCAGATAGAAGACCATGTTACCAAATGTGCTTTAGTTAAATTTGGAGCTTCTTACACCACATTAATTTGATTATGGATGATTTTTAGCTAAATCTGTGATTTTTAAATCAAGTTCTTCTTTTGTTTTGTTTCATTTGGTCTTTCCAAATTTATTCTGAAACTGCAGGATCATCATTATGTTTTCATTCATGATTCACGTCTGCTATCTTATTACTGCTCAGATACTATAGTAAAGTTTTTGTCATCACTAATAGCTTCCAATTAACACTATCAACAATTCAAAAATATTCTTAAAGGAACTTACCAAATGTTGACTCTTTAAGGGGACTTGAACTAGAACTGCTAGAATGATCTGCAATATCCAATTCATCATCAAATTCTGAAAAGACATCTTTATAAAAATAAAAGCAGAAATTAACCCTTCTCTGCAATTCTGATCAGGAGTACTAAACTTGTCTTGTTTAATCTTACCTTTTTCTGTATTTTCTAAAATGCAGTTATCATCTGACAGAGTTTCATCTTTCTCTTCATCTTTTCCAGAAAACTGGTGGAGGTTTTCAGATAGAGTATCAGTATTTTCATAAAATTCACTTTTTAAACTAGCTGCTCCACTACTACTGCTGCTGAAACTTGACTTTTCATAACGTTCCTGCAAAATAATAGAAACAATTTTTTAAGAATATAAATAATTTGCTCTGACAATACTAGTCTGTGAAATTCATGCTAAGTGGTATCATGAAATTTCACAGATATTTCAATTATTGTAATCAAGCTTCTTTCTACCAGCTGTTGTGGTCCGCCAGCAGCCTGTGGAGCTGGCAGCGGAGTCAGACAGTGAGGAGGCTGGGGAGGAACATCGCTCAGTCCTGGAGTCTGGGGAAGGCCCAGACGAGGGCTCTGCATTGGAGGCAGAGATGGGGCCAGGGCCATCTGCGAGTGATGCACAGACTCCGGAGCCCCCAGAATCGGACAGCAGAGAGGCAGAGGAACAGAAGGAGCCTTTTCCTAGTGCACGCATGTGCAGACCTGCCAGAAGGCAAGAGCAGCTAAAGTAAAAGGGACGACTCGGGAGTAAGGCCAGGAGATGATTGGCCCCTCCCATAAGGCTTAAAAGAAAAACAAAGGCACTTGGGCCTTTTGCAGGAAAACAATGTTGCTAACTCTGTTTCCAGTCAGCATCTCTTGTTTGTTTCTGAACTTCGTGGGGCGTTGCCAAGTAAGGCCTTTGGCAGGGTGTCAAAGAAGATAAAGGTTGGTGATTATGCCTAAGGACTTCTTTTGAAGGACTTGTTTTACAACTAAACCTACTTTTGTTTTGTTGAAGTATATCTTGGAAAGCATTATGTAATCAAACTGATATGTCTGAATTTGTAAATTAATAGCCAATAATCTTGAAACATAAAATTGCTTTCATTACTGGGTTATTTTTGTCTCTCTGGTGACTTCTAAGTCATGTTTTCATGAGACAATGATTTGCTTTTAATTTTCTACTTATATCCCTCATTTTGTTGAATTTTCAAAATTTTAGCCTTATGATATTAGATCCAATATTTAATCTTTCAGGAATGCAAATTGGGAGCATTAAAATGTATATGCTACCATCTCAGTCCTTTTCAAATATAAAGACAACATAGCATTTGATGGTGTTACAAATACTGTTTTTATTTTCTAGCTTCAGCAACCAAGAGCCCTGATGGTACAGTGGTCTAAGCACCCTGTTATTAACACAGCTGCCTGCAATTACTGCTGGTTCGAATCTCTCCAAGGCTCAAGGTTGACTCAGCCTTCCATCCTTTCTAAGGTAGGTGAAATGAGGACCCAGTTTGTGGGGGCAATAAGCTGACTTTGTATAAATATACAAAAGTATGAAGGCTATTGCTTAATGCATTGTAAGCCGCCCTGAGTCTCCGGAGAAGGACGGCATATAAATCAAATAAAAAAAAAATATTCACATTACTGTAGGTATACAGCTGTTTGCTTGGTAATGTGGTGCAAACTTTGTAAGTGTGAGAGCAGGCTAATGAACAAATAACAGAGAATGTAATGTAGCCTTGGTAACAAAATAACTACCAGTATATAAGTTTACCTTACCTGAGATAACACAGCAAGTTGATGGTGACATTTTATTGCATTCCTATTGGCCTCCATGAAATATCTCTGAGTACGCCTTCTTTCCCGTTCCAATTTCTTCTCCAAGACAAGCTGGGAATTTGATAATCCATCTAAATACTTCATCATAACATCTGAAATCATTGAACTGACCTCTACTATATCAGGACGGATTTCTGCATCAGGGGTCAAACATCTGTGGGGAAAAAATCTCTTTGTTATTTAGATGACAACCAATATTTATATGAAACTAGCTCTCATAAAATCAATGACTAGTACATCTTTTTGTACGAAGAGAGAAACAGCCCTTACCAAATATTGCCTTGTTCATAAAGTTTTACACAACCAAAGGTTTTAAAAATCCCAATAGAAATAAACCAAGTTTATGTGAATATCACAGGCATGCTTATACTGTTATGTATAATATTAGGTCTCTATTGTTCAGCTGAAATCAAGTTTAAATGGATGCTAGAAAAATATTTACCAATGTATTCTTGATTATATTTTCCTGGAAGTACAGCCTTGATGGAAACCATAGTTGGTGATGGATACTTTAACTTACAGTTACTTACTGCATCTAAGTAGAAGCTTGTAAAACTTAGATTATATGAAGAATTTAACTGAAACATGTTAATTTTGTTTTATTTCAGAAATTCTAATGCAGAGATAAAATGTGTAGCCCTAAGATATTTTTGCAACACAATTTCTGTCATCCCTCCCTACTCCTCATGCTTACTATAATGATAAGAGTTTAAGATCACATACACAACCATACATTGTTCACTCTTGCTCAAGTGAGTGAAGAAAAATATTTTAGCAATATAACATCTAGGCAGAAAACATTGTTATATGGCTACTAAAACAAAGCACACACAAGAACTAGGTCATGTTTGGGTCTATGTATTGTTCTCAGAACAGTATGTGAAACAGAGTTAAAAAATTGTTATAACAAAAGGCAGAAAAGTTTCCAAGGACTGTGGCTCACAAAAGTTTAAAAATTGGAAGTTGAATACTAAGCTGAGTTTGGATGCATTGGCAAAATCTAGAAACACATCATTACTTTGATGTTGATAAAGGAATAAGCTCACCCACTTTTCAACCAATATGAAATCACCTATAATGAAGAATAATCCATAAATATCTTGTTCCACTCTAAATAAATTTCATTGTACTATCCATTGAATTTGTACCAATCATTTGAAAATTAAAGGATGGTAGGACAACAACAGCATTCACAAGAACTCCTATGCTAGAGATATATTCTTATTATACCATTTCTTCCATTTAGTGGTTGGGAAAGTAGATTGAATGGCACTTATCCTTTCTTCGGTAGGTAAGGTCTTTTTCTATTTTACTTTCTTTTTTGCTCACAATAAAGATACCTTTTCTTTTATTCTCCATGTACCAATCTTAATGTTTCCTGTTGTTTATGTTGTATAGATTTCTGTTTTAGCTACAACTCAAATTTAGGCGGTTTGCGTTGGCAAAGAGGCTGTGGATGCAAGCCGTTCATGCCAGCTAAGAGGCTGCGCTGGCAGGCTGTTTGCGCCGGCAAAGTGGCAGCAGCTTGCCAGTGTCTTGGGGCAGAGTCATGCTCAGATGCACCAACAAAGGCCAGAAGTAGCCGTCCTCCATATGTTGGCTTCAAGGTTGGTGCAGAAGGCTTTCCAGATTCAAACGGGGCTGTGCAAGGCCCCCCCACCCATTTTGGGCCTGGAAAGCCTCCTGCACCAACCTGGAAGCCAAAATGGGATGTGGGGGTGCGGGGCACATGCGCACAGGGCTGGCATGCATGTCGGGGGGGGACTGGGACGCATGCGTAGGGGGCACTCGCATTGCATTTGGGGGGTTTGGGCATGCACGCACGCACGCTTTGGGCACTTGGCACCAAAAAGATTAACCATCACTGTTTTATGGCACATGTCTTGTAAATACAGACTTTGAAATGGTGAACAAAACACTTAAATGAACTCCCTTCCTTTATTTGAAGTAGGTTGAGTTAAATTAGACTGTAACTGACCTACACTCACTCATTCAGTTTTGAGGTTCGACCAAAATCTAGTTATCTTCATTCTTAATTCAACAAATAGAATCAACCAAATGCATGCGTCTTTTAATAATAACTGATAATGATATGCAGAGGGCAGAGCAGAGCAACAAAGATGATTAGGAGACTGGAGGCTAAAACATATGAAGAATGGTTGCAGGAACTGGGTATGTCTAGTTTAATGAAAAGAAGGACTAGGGGAGACATGATAGCAGTATTCCAATATCTCAGGGGCTGCCACAAACAAGAGGGAGCAAAGCTATTCTCCAAAGTACCCGAGGGTAGGACAAGAAGCAATAGGTGGAAAGTAATCAAGGAGAGAAGCAACTTAGAACTAAGGAGAAATTTCCTGACAGTTAGAACAATTAATCATGGAACAACTTGCCTCCAGAAGTTGTGAATGCTGGAAGCTTTTAAGAAGATGTTGGATAACCATTTGTCTGAAGTGGTGTGGAGTTTCCTGCCTAAGCAGGGGGTTGGACTAGAAGACCTCCAAGGTCCCTTCCAACTCTGATATTATATTATATTATATTATATTATATTATATTATATTATATTATATTAATTATATTATATTATATTATATTATATTATATTATATTATATTATATATATTTATATTATATTATATTATATTATATTATATTATATTATATTTATTATATTATATTCCATAGGCTTGAAGTGAGGACTGATTACAATCAATATTTCTATGTCCTATTTCAATAAATAAACTTATAAAGAATTTTATGATTATGGAGAAGCAATAATTCATATCATATTTCAGGACATATCAATTGCTAATGGCTATTTTGTGTTTTTCTCTTTTCTGTTTAAATATTTCTGTTTATTATATTTCTGTTTAAATATAATCATTCATTTTATATCTTCATATCTTTTATGTCTTTATATCTTTTTTTTTTCAACTAACCAGAACTCTGGAATGTATGTATGCACTAAAAATGTAGCATGGGAATGCTAAACTACTCTTAGAAATTAAGTGTCACATAATTGTTTTGAGAAAAAAATTATCTATTTGGCCTTATAGCTTTCAAACAGGATGAAGCAACACAAAATGCATTACAATGCAATTTTGATTTTGAAGAGGGATTTTTTTTGTGTACACTTTTTTTTTCTCAGCAAATGTTGCTACTTATTTGAGTGTTCTTTATTTTCCATACAAGATATTCATATAGCTACTCCTCAAATTATGACCATTCATTCAGTGACAGTTCAAAATTGTAGTGGCATTGAACAAATGGACAATTCGTTTTCAAAATTCCAACTATCCAGCACCCCTATGGTCATATGAACACATTTGAGAGCTTGGCAACCAGCTTGAATTGGTTGAAGAATTCTGCAGTCATGTGATCATCTTTGTGACCTTCCCTGATATGGCCCCACAAGCAAAGTCAATGGGGAAGCCAATATGAAAAGTAGCAAGATGCTCAAATAAGTTTCTTCTAACATCAGTCTTTCTTTGCTTGCAGGCACCACATTGCCCTCCCCCTCCCCCTTTGCTAATGCAAATCCCGTGCCCTCTTTTACTAGCCTCGCTATGCTAATACACATTTATTGTTGGGATAAACTACAAAGAGTTATTTTAACTTTTAAGCAGCAAAGGTTTCACCTTAATTCAGTCTGAAAAGTGGGAGACTTCCTTGACAAGTTGAAAAAAGAATTGGAGGCGATGCAAATGGGTACAAAGAAATGAGCTCTGCAGCAAATGAAGCAAGAGGCTGAAGAAAAAACTAATGTGTTGAGTGCTACAGTTGTAGACTTTTCAACTTTTACAGCATAAATATGGATTGAATTGCATAATAAGGAATATAAATTGGTCAACTCCTTGCAAAAAATAAAAATAAAAAGAGTGGTAGTAGTTAAGGTGTTGACCTACAAACCCAGAGATTGGGAATCCTGCCTTAGTTGTGAAAGCTGGCTGGGTGACTTTGGACTATCTATCTATCTATCTATCTATCTATCTATCTATCTATCTATCTATCTATCTATCTATCTATTTATTTTATTAGATTTCTATACCGCCCTACTCCCGAAGGACTCAGGGCAGTGCACAGCCAAACAATAAAAAACACATACATACAAAATTTAAAAAATAGAATAAAATCAAATTAAATAATTTTGGCCCCGACAAATTTAAAACCCCAAACTTTTAAAACCAATTTAAAATTGAATATATAAAATACTAAAAGATATTTAAAATTTTAAAAATCTCTTATAAAAGAGGGGGAAAATTAGGCCAGGCCGGCCTGATGAAATAGTAAGGTCTTTAAGGCGCGGCGGAAGGTGCGCAGATCCGGGATCCTCCGTATCTCTGGGGGGGAGCTCGTTCCAGATAGTAGGTGCCCCCACAGAGAAGGCTCTCCCCCTGGGGGCCACCAGTCAGCATTGTTTGGCTGACGGCACCCGGAGGAGCCCCTCTCTATGGGAGTGTACTGGCCGGTGGGAGGCTATTGGTGGTAGTAGGCAGTCCCGCAAGTACCCTAAGCCATGGAGCGCTTTAAAGGTGGTAACCAGAACCTTGAAGCGCACCCGGAAGACCACCGGGAGCCAGTGCAGCTCGCGCAGGAGGGGTGTTACATGGGAACGCCATGTCGCTCCCATTACCACCCGCGCGGCTGCACTCTGCGCCAGTTGGAGCCTCCGGATGCTCCTCAAGGGGAGCCCCATGTAGAGAGCGTTGCAGTAGTCCAGGCGGGAGGTGACAAGGGCATGAGTGACCGTGCGTAACGAGTCCCGATCCAGAAAGGGACGCAACTGGCGAATCAGGCGAACCTGATGAAAAATCCTCTCGGTCATGGCCGTCAAGTGCTCTTCTAAAGACAGCCGTGAATCCAGGAGGACGCCCAAGTTGCGAGCCCTCTCCGTGGGGGCCAATGATTCACCCCCAATAGTCAGTGATGGCGTCAACTGACTATATCGGGACGTCGGAAACCACAGCCACTCGGTCTTGGATGGGTTGAGCCTGAGACTGTTCCTCCCCATCCAGATCCATACGGCCTCCAGGCACCGGGGCATCACTTCAAGGGCATCGTTGGGGTGATCCGGGGTGGAGATGTACAGCTAAGTGTCATCAGCGTACTGATGGTACTCCACCCCGAAACCACGGATGATCTCGCCCAGCGGCTTCA